GAAAATATACAGGCTAAAGTATTAAAAATAATGGCCAAGAAGAGAAATCTCAGCCAGTGTGACCTGCCGGCTTTCTACAACACTTTAACACCAAAAGGATTCTACATGTACCTCAACATAATTCGGAACAATAATGATAATTAATTCAAAATTGATGCATCGAATGGGTACAAAACAAGAAATCCAAAGTACCAAATACCATTAACATACAACAGTTATGGAAAAATAACTCTTAAGTATCTGATACCCAAACTATACAACCAGATACCCAAAGACATTAAATACCCAAAAACCAACTACAAAGACTTTAACAACAAAATTAAATCATGGCTGCAAATAAACAAACCTGAGGTGTGACAACCAACAACAGTGTATAGGATACTTTTGTCAATAAAAAAAAAAGAGACTGGATTGAAATTCATAAACAAAATTAGGTAACCATAGAAATTAAGAATGTTTATAAGGTGTGTACCAAACTAATACGATATACTGTTATTGCAAAATGTGATGAGACTATGTATTAATTTGCATCATATACAAATAACTATGTTAAGTTCAATCATAAAATACAAATATAAAACATGTAAAATATTATTAATTATTGTATAATTGTAATTCATATAATAATTATATGAATTGTACAGGAACCAGATGATAAGTCTCTGACTTAACTGGACCCTAAACTAAAGAAGTTAATAAAATTGCAAATTTATTATTATTGTTGTTATTATTGTTATTATTATTTTTATTATTATTATTATCATTAATGGATGCCTGAATGTAGGTCAAGATATGTTAAACTATATTCTGATTTAAATATCCAAAAAGTAGCATCTGCAAGAGTTTAGAAGGATGGAGAAACCTTGGGGATGGTATTTAAGCACATTAATCAATAGTTCCAGAATACGGAACGAGATATCCGCGGAAGCGATCAGGTAATAGTTTGCCGATGGGAGTAACCTGGATTCGCAAACGATACATTCTCTTTGTGTTGGAATTTAGTGTCTTGTTTAAAATCACTCAACAGAGAGGCGAACAGACGCTCACACTGTTGTGGGACATAAGTTCATTAGATACATAACAAACGAGAATAAATTTAATACTGTTAAAAAATTTTGACACAATTGGAGGGCCACGACTCCCCGTTATACTATTTTACATATATACATTATTTTACATATGATAACATGAATCTGTTTGTCTTTAATGTCCATCACACTAAACGTTAATAAAAAATTTAATTGTGCAGATTAGCAAGGTCACTTTCTTCCCGTTTTGCACACCAATCTCCATCCATGGACTTCCCCGCTGAAGATCATTCTACATCGAGAGAAAAAGAGAAAGAGAAAGAGAGAGAGAGAGGGAAAGAGAGACAGAGGGGGGAGAAAAAGGAAAAAACAGGTGCAGGCACTGCCGAGTCACTCTTCAAAAGCTGTGGTGCCCCTTTGTTTTTGTTGTTGTTGTTGTTTTTGTTGTTGAAAGTTGAAAATTAAATACTGGGAAAATATAATATTACACATATTTAACAAGTTATATTAATTATTCATTACATGTTGCTGAAAATGTGAAGAACATAAAGAATTGGAAAATTTGTCAACTGTGTGAAGAAAATTTCACTTCCATGAACAGTCACACTCAGAAATGCTGTTTACTTCAAAACAAACAACCTTTCACATCTGATCAGCAGTCAGATGCAAGAACAGATTATGTATACATTTAGTAGCTCGAATTGGAGCACAGCACCAGCAATGCATCCCTTAGAAAAAAAAGCAAATCTGATTTTGAAGCTCAGTGTGATGCAATGTGCTCGTTGGACGGATAATGTTATCTGGCAATGTTTTGTAAAGCATACATGTGTTGTATACAGTTTCTTAAAGCAAGCTTTTGATATAGACATCTGATGAGTGTGATCCTTATGACATATGTTGTAATTATAGATATTGTATTTTATTAATATCTTTTCCCACCCTTAAATCAGCCAGTTTTGACAAAAAGTATTTTCATAAATTGACAGGCAGGGCAATGATAGTATTCTAAGCTCAATGAAGAGAGGCTGCCAGGAATGACACAATTACAGTAAATATACAAATGTACAGATATTTATTGCCTTTAAAATTAAATATTATTGTAGCTTTTACTACCTTTAAAAACACAGGTACACATTCATATAAAAACTAGAATAAAATTCCTACTTACATACCCAATATATTCACAATTGCAAAAAAAGACAATAAAAATTACACAATCTCAAAAAATCAATGGCATCTAACATAACTGTTGCAAAGCACTTGCTGAAACACCACTATGAAGAGCTTTCTTGATACTCAGGGCTAATTTGCCAGTACAGTTTTTAAAGAGGGAAGTACAATCAACTCGAGAATAAAAGCTGTATTTCAAGAAATTTTCCACCTTATTGTACAACTTGATGTAAGCAGTTTCTACTTCAGCTGACACTTGGAATCCATTTTCTGAAACAAATGCCCAATGAATAATTAGTGCAGAACATGCTATTTCATATCTAACAATTCTCAAAATTAATGGAACATATTGCAAACTTACTGTAATCAGGAGATCCATGAAGGTCAAATATCCGTTGAAAGAATAATAATTGTGTGTACAAATCCTTGTCGCTGACCTGTAAACAATCAGCAATTATATCTGAAAATTATTTATTCATTCATTCATTCACTCACTTCCTTTACAAACAATCTTTTTTCCCCCATCCAAGAAACAGGATAAACCATTCTAAAATAATTCATAAAAACACATAATAATATGATAGTAAATGAATGACTGTAGATTTATGACATAGTATATTTTCGGAATCCATTTAAAGTAAAATTTTTACATAGGTAATAAAATAAGAGTAAATATTGAAGTATAGCAGAGATGTACAGCAATTTCAAGTTGTTTCCAGAATTAATGGTGAACAAAGAGTCTATATTTTTGCAATATCTTATGCCTGAACTGAAAATCGTTTTTAATGCCTTCAACCATGGATAGAATTATCAGAACTATGTTCTTAAATACTTTACAGTATTTAAACACTTAATTAAATAATACACTAACGCACAGAAAGGAAGCAACACACGAACAGGACACAGCATCAGGACAGGAGAATTGCATACAACCAACCAAATCTGCACATGCAAAGAAATTCAACCAGAACAGCAAATATGCAAGCAAACAGGAAATATAGAATAAGTCATTGTGGAAGACGCATTCTTCAATCATGGCATAGGTTTTGCACACTACTGCACCCTGAGGGCAAATCAAGGGAAACCAGTAGCATAACGAAATGAGTGTGGACCCACACGCAAAACTTTTATCCGGACCTCCCTTTATAAAAGTGTATAACAAACCCAAGTAGCATTAGAACCTTAAATAATAAAAAAAATCCTTTAACAAATATGAATTCGTCCATGATTAACAACCAATGGTGGAAAATATAGCTATCTTATTTAATTTTATGAAATTAACTGTTTAAACCTCAATGAATTGCTTACCTTCATTGATTTAGAAACAGGGTTACATAAGCTACTGAAGTGGAAAATATCATTCTTCTGGAAGATGCAGTTTTTGATATTTTATTCTATCAACTATCACAACGTATAAGAGAAAGAATCAAGTAATTAATATTTTACACAATTGCAAAACATTCAGCTTAAAAAAAGACCCTGAGCCCACCCGCATTGTGGACCTTGTGAGCTCGAACATGAATGGGGGAAACAGTTTTGCAGAAAACACGTTACTGATGGACATCCTGCAAGAAAACAATTTCCAATTAAGCAACCAATCTTGTGCTGTGTCAGCAGAGAGATGCCATTTGCCAGTCCCATGTTGCAAATTTCACAACTCAAAAAACTGGTCATATGGCAAAACTATATTCGGGTGCACTGTAATACACCAAAGTTCACAAACATCCCTAGCAAGTGAGAACGAAGCATAACAGAATATTAAATGTCAGGCTTTTTGAATTCTGAATAAATCAGAATGTAAACATTGAATTGAATTGAATTTGCCTTATTTTACGTGGCGAGACTCGGGCCATCAGGCCAGCTCTTCCGTCTGACCACGCAAATTTCGCTACGCTCCTTTCATATAGCAGAGAAAGAAGGTATTTCTTGGGCGAGAAACAGGCGATTTTGAATTTAGCTCAGAGGCTTCATTTAGGCTTGAGGATCTTTTACATGCAAGTAAATCTACATAACATGGACAGCCGGCTTTACTTCCCCTCCGAAGGATTTTGTCGCCCTAAAAATCCACGGCTTCGATCGGGTTTGAACCCGCGAGCTTGGGTACAACAGTCTGGTACGCTAACCGTCACACCATCGCCGCCGCCGTGGTATGGTATACAAGTTAATATCAAATATTATACAAAAGGAAAGATGGATATTATTTGGGAGAGCAGTGCCCTTTGAACCTCTCTGCTCTAGCTGCCACTGCCATTACCCAACAGGGAAAAGCATGAAATTCCTCAAAACTTATTTTTAGGATATTACCTCTTTATACATAACAGCAGAGTCACACAGTATGCAAACTGGGTATGCTCGATGGAAATTCAATGGAACAAATCTTGTCCGAAGGGGGCACGCAGGATCCTCACATATCAGTACACCCTGCAAAACCAATTAAATCAATTAGTACATAATTTGAATTACCAGTCTCTTGATGAGCCTTTTTAAATACAACTTAAATTATGTTCAAAAAAATATTCTTTCACAGATTCCAGTATTTCTGTACTGCTGAAATTGCTGGTCATGTCACTACCACTTACTTTAGATTTTTAAAATAATAACTTGACTAACCTAATGGCTTTCTGATCTCAAATGTAACACAATTCAAAAACCAAATGTATCCAAAAATATTGAAGCTCCTTGCTTACATGGAACTCAACATGTATTATATATTAAAATAAGCGGTTCGCAGGAATGTATTACAATATTACATTTTTTATTAAAGATAATTATAATGATATTATAAAACAAATAATAATGATAATAATAATAATAATAACAATAACAACAATGATAATAACAAATATTTTTCTGTCCAATTGCATTTGCTTTTGTAAGTGCTATTAGTGCAGAGTTGCAACCGGTATTTGTATATAGCAAATGTAATACAGATGTAATACAGTAAACAGATGAGAACCAATCCTGATCCCCGGCCAGTTAGTGGACCCCGATATGCCATGCCGGGGTGAAGTACTATCAGGGAAGACTCATAATGAGACTCAACCGTTTAGTTACTAACAGACAGTTTACCCTGAGATTTTCACCCCAGCACACAGTTGTGCATTTTCCTGAAATCTTGACCAAAACCTCAAAAATGAAAACTCATATTCTGTACTTTTGCACAAATTACGACACAGTAGGGAGCATCAGTTTCTGCCCACTTCGTGCCTCCGAGTCAATTCCCCTGATGCCAGTAGTCAGCCAAACTTATCCTTCATGGGGTTTAATAACCATGCAGTGCAGTGTCACAGAGAGAGTCTTAGAAAGGGTAAACGCTCTATGAAAAGCCAAATACATTCATGATGCCAAATTCTTTGTATCATTTTTTTCATGATATGTTAAATCAAAAATACATGTGATCAGAAAGTATTGTTATAAACTGGGTGTAAAAGTAAATTGCCCAAAGCAGGGTTATCATAACAATGAAATTAACACAGCCAGCTGCTTTTTTGAGAACCCTAAAGAATCATCCGAGGTAATATGGTGTCAAGGCTATTCGAGACGAGCCGCGTCACTGACATAGTGGCTAACTTTTTGGCCAGCGTATTGTGGCCTTCTTCAGAGCGTACTGCTGAAACGTGAAGAAGTGCTTGGAAACAGTTAGATACTACGTAAATTAGAATTTGTATATTATTTCATATGTCTTTTACAAACAATTTTACATTTACAAATTAACGTTTTAGAAATTATTTAAAACCTATTTGATAATCCAAATTTTTTGTCTGAATTGCGAGGAATGTATCTGTATCCTCAATGTATTGATCTTGTTTGTTTTTTTTCTTCCAAGTAATCTGCAAACCTTAATTCAAATTAGTTCAATTAGGTTTTCCCTCTCAAAAAAAAAATCTAACGTGAAATAAAAATTGAAAAAATTGAGTACCAAAAATATATATGAACATTTAACTTTAATTTTACATTGCACCGAATGTATTCTTGAGCAACAATGCAGTGGTAGATATTCAAGAAGTTTTATTGTTGAATGGTGACAAGATAAGTGTGTTTTATTTACTCCAATGAATTCAGTTTCATTGTTGGGACATAATTTACCTGTAAGAAACACAGTTTTAATTGCCGAATTAGTATTGATATTTGCTTGTAAATATTTGTTTTCGCAGCTAATGTTCTACAATCTGTAGAGTTTTACAAAGAATGATGACGTGTTAATTCAGACTGAAATTGCGATAAAAATAGTATTAGGCAACCGTTACTAAGGGCGAGAAATGTCTTTTTTCAGCACCATTAGTTCTCTTTTACTCCCATACCCTCCACCTATATAAACACATACTTTGTGACAATCATGGCTCAGAGGCCAATGGACATACCTTATAGTACTGATGCAAATGATATCGCAACATAGATGTGAGCCTATTTTCTAGGGATGCAAGGTACTGCGTAGGCCGCACTGTGCACTGTGAATTAGCACACCTGCTGAGAGAAGGGTAGAGGTTTCCAGCATCATCCTTCTTGAAAGGTTTTTCCATTACCGTTTCAGTTTTACATTGGACACATGTAAATGAAAACCTGCAAGCAATGTAAAAATATTTCGTTACTTCATAGTTACACAATTGTAATAGCAACCTGAAATGATTTTTCCTCTTACAAAACAAAAGCAATTTATTTTGATCAAACACGAGCCACAAGTAACACAATGCAATCAACTTTTAGTAAAGCATTCAAAGAAACATTCCAATTTCTGATGTTAAAATATACACAAATGCAAAGTTCTAGTTTCAACAGTTTGCTTTTTCTTTCAAGAAAGATACCCTCTGAATTAAGAACACCACTAGCTATTAAGTAAACTCAGAAGTATTGTGTTATTGTATTTGCCATTTTTACTTTCTCATATATGTACTTACAGATGGACTGATTTATGTAGTACAGGGAGAGTTATGTAATGCTGCACCACAAAACAGATTTGTTGACAGAAAACTAGTACTGTAGGGCCCTGATGCCAAAAGATAGATAAAACCTTTCCTAATATGTAGTAAGTTACTGCCTCTATGATGTAATGTAGTCAGATTTCCGAAATTGTGGGACCTTGACACCTGATTTTCAAAATGTGTGGTCGGCCGTGAACACCACTAAACCATACATATGATTTCTTTGAAAATAGATATTCCCCAGTCGATCTGGCTCAACTGGAAGTAATGCAATTTTGAAAAACATTCATTAATTTTTGGGATACATTACATAAAGTCCCTGGGAGATTTTCAAAATGTTCTTAAAAATGATACCATCTTTTTATTTAAATGTTTTTAAAGAATAGAGTAAAATGCACAAATACAGATGACATATGTCCGTTTTCACTGCTAACTCAGAATTTTCGAGAAAGTTTCAAATTTTTTCAGTCTCCCTACAACTACAAAATTGAAGATAAGATTTCTTTCTTCAAATGAAATTTGTTCTGTGTACTTAGTTCTTTCACTAAGATCATGTATTTTTTTAAGAAAGAAAGAAAGAAAGAAAGAAAGAAAGAACTATGGAAAGAAAAAAAAATATTACTTTTCAGGAAAATATACATTACCTTATTTACAAAAAAAATACATTACCTTAATGAAAGAACTATGGAGAAAAAAAATTACATTACAGGAAAATATTTATCTTCAATTCATTTTTAACAATAAGCCGATAAAAGGAATAAGCCAAAATTTGAATTTACCAAAAAGGGTTAAGCTGAAAAAATTCCAAACGTTTGAAATTTTCGTAAACAGAAATAACCAAGGAAAACAGATCTATGCCATTTTTATGACTGTGTATTTGTGTGTTTTAGTGTATTTGACTTCATTCTTTCAAAAAATTTAAAGAAAAAATTTGGTGCCATTTTTGAAACAATTTTTAAAATGGCCATGTATGGGGCTTTGTGCAAAGTACCCCAAAATTTTAAAGAACGTTTTTCAAAATCACTGAGGTACAAGTCGAACCAGATCCAATATCCAATTGAATAAAATAAAAGTACATATGGTTTAAGCGCTAATAGTGTTCACAGATGGACGAACATTTTACTGTCAATCGATTTTTTGGTATCAAAGACAAAAAACCCATGGAGTCTGGCTACATCACGTGTTAGAGGATTTTTTTTTCTTAATTTAGCAACTAGATTTATCCACTTTTACTTTCTTGTATACTTATGTATATTCGAGTAATATACTAGTAGAATATTATGTAATTCCTATGTAGAATATTATGTAATTCCGCAGCAAAGAGGGTCATTTTTCGGCAGAAAATCTCGTATTGTGAGACCCTGATACAGAAAAAGTGGATAAATCATGTTCTAACATGTAAATTACTCCTAACCCGTTATTTAGTCAGATTTTACGAGTAGTGAGCCCTTAGTACACAAAAAGTGTTTTCTTTTAAAACTCGGCCGTCTGTGAACGCTTCTAGCGCCTGAACCATACGTAGTATTGTTTTCCAAATGAACATTCCCCAGTCGATCGAGCTGGGTTCACAATTTTGACGCATTCTGTATTTTCAAAAATTTGAAATGGTAAATTCGACGCTTCCTTTGAGGGGATGAAACATTGCTTACTGATTAGCAAAAAAAGCAGGTATACAAGTTGTAATTTATGTAAAACAAAAAAAAAAGGAAATTATAATAATGAACTATAATAATCGCTAGCTTATTATAACGTCCTTTAAGTTAGCTTTTGGAATCGATGACGGCAATAAGCGTTAGAAACTTTTGTAGTATTTGTCACAAATGAACACGTTTATTCGAATGCACACAATGTGAAAGGGCATCCTAGATGTGGGTAATATTTTACTGCTGTATCCACAAATTTATTTATAATAGTATTCGTTCATTTACTATTTCAAATTATGTTAACTTTCTCCAAAACAAATGTAAGAAGTTGGAATTGTTTCTGCACGCAGTTGGCAGCAAAAACAAAATGTCTCAGCTGGCTTTGTAGCTGTCTTGCGAATATGTCTAGCTTGACACATTATGGCAACAGAGTTGTTTCAAGATTGTTCGAATCCTGTCGAATACCCCTTGTTGGTCGTGAGGCCTGTATGATGTAGATCAGTGTTGGCCCGCGAAAGGATATTAGTCAAACGTGAGTCCCTGAAATCCATATCGAGCGATACCATTGCGCGCAGACGGAGTACCCCCCCCCCCCGCCTAATTTAAAAATAGGTGAAATTTAGATGATTTTCCTAGTCAATTCAAACATTCAACATCATACCAATGTGTGATGTGTTATGCATGGTACGGCCTCATATCACGCATGGTTACATCTCCCCCTGTCTCAGAGCAGCCATGCAAAATGCCGAGATCAACAATATGGGGAAGCCAGATGTGGATAACCCAATAAATGAAAATATGGCCCGCAATCATGTTAAAGGTTTTAGTTGTGGCCTTCGAGGCCTTGCAAGTTGGACATCCCTGATGTAGATAATATTCTTATGAAAGAAAATAGATCGAAGGAAGGTAATAAATTTCACTTAGAAATAACAAACACACTTTTTTACAGTAAAAAGTGTTGATCGATGATTGTGGTATTCAAAATGGAAGATCGCTGCATTGTATTCAAAGTAGGCTTTTGTGAAATTATTATTGCTTTTCTCGATTATAAACTGCAAATACTGTAACACCTAAGTTATTTATCTTTGTTTCATTAGCAAAAGTAGGAAATTATTGCTGCTCCTGACTATCGAAATGAATGAAACAGACGTTTTCATTGAATTAGACTATTCATGTATTAGCTGAGGTGTTCTCTTGTAACTCCAATAATGACAGAAAGTATGTGATGTAGCACAATAGTATTGTTTTACTTTCATGACTCAATGTATTGACTTTACTGCAAGAAAAAGTTACAGATTAATGAAAATAGAAATACTTACTTTTCACATTTCTCATAATGTTCAGGTTCACGAAGCAGCAAAGCAAATGGTTTTTCTGTATTATCTTCACTCTTGGCCGCTTGTTGACGCAGTGACTGTTTATACGGGGTAGGATCCAATCCTGCCACAAGTCCAAGAAAAGTCAGAAGACAAAAACCAACAACCAATATTTAAATAAAGTAAATTCTAAGCCAGCTTCAATTGCAAACAAACAAACAAAAAAAAGGAAAAAAAAATCTAAATTATAATCATTTTTTCAAAAACCCTTGAGTTATTGAAAAGCTACAACTAGTTCCTGAACCTGCAGCTGATTATATTAATGCATATTCGCAATCCCCTTTGCGCATGTAACGTACATTCATCAATCGGGATCAAGTAGATTCTTCCAGAAGGAACTAACGAAATGATTCTTTGTTTGTCGGACTATATTCCTCATAACTTGAAAATGCAAGTGCCTCACTCGAACATGTGCACAGGGGGCGTCATTGGGGCGAGGCTTTACCAGCAACAGCGGTTTAAGGTTAAACGGAAACCTTAAATTTGGTTTAAGGTTTCCGTTTTATTCAGAGTTGTCCATTTTATGACACTTGTTTTATTGATATTTCCATTTCAAAACCAGAAAATTTTGTGACTATTATAATTATAAAAATATATTAACATATAGCGTATTTATGGAAGAAATCCAATAAATAAATAAACTCATTTCTGACAATTAAGAGGAAAAACTTCACAACTTGTGAACTAAAATAATATATTTAGCAACATTCATCTTCACTTTTTTGTTTTCCCACTTCTCAATTATGCTTTCTGAAGTTGAAAAATTTTAATATTTAGGGTTTATCGTTTTTTTCAATCGTCGTTAAACAGATTGTGAAATTTATAAAACACCTCGCTGTCTAGTGGTTGCTCCCAGACTGCTCGCCGACTCTTTCAACGCACTAAGCGTCACAACCCAGAGTACTATGTCTATCTGATACCCTCAGAAGGCCTGGAGGCAACACCAAGAGAATACAGCTCTGGCCGAGGAGTTACGATTGCCAACGCGAGGCCGGTAGATACGTGAATACAAGCTATGCCCGTGCACCTCGCCGTGCGCAGAAAACGGGGAGAGAAGGAATTCCCCTGGGGCATAGGTCATGAGAAGCAAGCGACCCCGGGGTCGAATTCTACGCTGACAACTGAAGCTTCTCGCCTTCACTGCGCGGATGCGACGACTGAAACATATCACTGGGGCAGAGGAATTACAACAGACATTCACAAGCATTCATTTCATTAAGAGGATTTTAAAATGTGGGTCTGCCAATGGCATTCAGTTCGCACAAATTCCGTTTTATAAAGAGTTTTTTCCCCCTGCAGAACATGAAAAACCGCTCTGTTTCCGCGTTTGAGATTCCATTTTATGCTGTGTAAAATGACATTTAACTTCACGGGCAAAGAAAATTTTCCGGCTTCAATAGGTTCCGGTTTAGACAGATTTTACTGTACGTGGAAATACGCAGACTACTTATAACTTGCATTCTAACTATTAAAAACAAGGTAAGTGTATATAAATAATCTAAAATAATATTCAATCAATAAATAATCAATTAAGGTCAACTTATATAAATATTATGAAACGTAATACAAATGATACAACCCTTGTAGTTTATTACGTTTGATTGGTAGTTTAATGCAACTTCAAGTAATTCACTATGTTATCTACCCACTGTTGTAAAGAAGAGTATATGTTTTGACTCCATTATAATTAAAGATTTAAAAATGTATTTTTTCTTTAAACTAAAATTCTGAAGATGGCTACAAGAAGCAGCTGAAACGCCACGTTAACATGTAGTTTATTAAAGTCACAAATATGTATAAGTGTTAATAAATCTTAATGTCGAAAATTTGGAGAGGAACTGTTTTTACTTTCACGTATACGTACGTATATACGGAGTAATATCATAACATTTCGGTCGATTTCCAGATTTCAACGGAAATGCACGTTTTGGGGTCCACTGATACCGGAAAAGTGGTTCTTTTCAAAACGTCCATCGTGCTTCCTGAAACCACGCAGAAAAGGTGTAAATAGATTCCTTTGCTCCAGGAACCAGACCAGACGTTTCTTTACCATTCCCATAAAAGCTTCACCACACACACACCTTGTGAGCGAAATGCCCGGGAACTGGATGATTTTCTTCCTTTCCTTCTTAGAAATTCGGCAATAACAATGGCTTCACGCCAAATCATCAAGTTCTTCATACTGCTTTTGGCTTCAGAAAGCTAGGAGAAAGGTACGGACTGTGAGAAGAAACGCATCTAGTGAGGGCCAATCTTCAACTATATAGCTGTCTGTGAGGGTATTAAGGTGTCCATTACCAGAAGCCCAGAGACAGACGCGAAGGAAAGTCTATTCCACCGATCTGTCGAAACTTTCCCACACTACTTTAGGGCGATACGGCAACGAAGTGATAAATCTAAGCTCTACCTCCCACACTTGTAGGTTAACCAAAACTGTCCTCAATTCTCGCGCCGAGTATGAACCGCACTAGTACTTTTAAATGTTCTTCCTTCTGAGTGCACGCCACCTAAAAGAAAACGTTTCTTCCTTGGTTTATCTTCTTTCTAAGGAAGAAACTACTCAAAACCACCGTTCTCTCAAACACATCGCCTTTCCTTTGCAGAAGAGGCAAGGTTTGTTTGTGCTTCATAGAATAACGATTCATCCCCGGTCTCCCCACCCCACCACGGATGTCCAACAACCGGACACCCCACTGGGGCGCCAGGGTTGACACGAAGACATAGTGGGAAGATGTCACAGCGCTGCCCCCCGTGGATTCCCACGCTCACCCTGGAGTTCAGAACAAGACCTCGTCCGAGCCGATTGATCGGGAGGGGGTTACCTCCCGACCGCCCGTAAAGAAGAGTCCGAGGCCAAAGTAAGTGTGTTGGAAACCTACAAGGAATGTTCCCCCAAATACATCAACGTATCCCTTTGGGCAGAGATAGAAGGCAACAGGCAAGTTCGAACAGCTAGCTGAGACTAAAGGCAATAGAAAAGTAATACAGGAAATTCTGTGCCATTCTTAGAACCACTAGTTATAATCATTAGTTGGAATGGTAGCCAGACTTAAAATATTGTGGCAACACTAATTCTAGGAATATTTCGTAATAATTTGGGTATCACATGCTTCTTCAGAATGTTAGCAGTGTTAAGTTTTTATTTATTTATTTACTTATTTATTTATTTATTTTTTTGTGAGAGATCATGTGCAAAATCTTACAGGTAGAAGAAGCACATTTAATAATGGATTTTGGATGTTTTAAGTTTGAGGTTATTTTGGTTTTCACACACTGAAAATACTTTACAGCAGCCACACAATACACTGTAATGAAGCTGTTTCGTTTTGGTTATTATACTCTTTAATTTTCCGAAGATTATGAAATTCCATTGAAAATAGGTACTATCCATTTAGTATCGTGTTTGACAGAGGTTTTTTGGGCATACTAATATGGCGGACTGGCTTCAGTAGTGAGAGAAGTTAGTAATGCCACTACCATGTATTCATAGCTCCATGTTCAGAATCCTTTCCACTTCACTCTAATGTTAGTTACTCGTAAAGTAATACATAGAACAGTGCAAAATCATGCAGCATAAGCAGAAACGTGAGCAAAGGGAGCGAAGAGTCGCTGCACGATGCTCATGTGTCCACTTCGCCAGTGGCAACTCAGCAACCAGACTCGACATGTTTTCACTCTGATTGGCAGATTCCATGGAAACAGGAGAGGCTTACAAGCATCACTCATAAATGTCGATCACCAACATACATTAATCCGACCTTAGGATGACAATCACATGCCATACCCTCAAGTATTGACACATGTGTTCACTTATCTACCCCCATGGGCTGATATACTTATAATTTTTTCCCAGTATGTTATGAAGTACGTAATTTGCTTTGGCACATTTCTACTACTACAAACTTCTATTTCTTTTAAATTCATTAGTTTTGAGTCATCTAAATATAAATTTTTCTGGAGTCTCAACATCACTCACCAAGAAATTCAGCAATACGGCATGAATCGATTCCATCAACAGGATCAAGCAAACGTGTGATTACAGGATGTATTTGATGTGCAAGGTAGTATTTATAATCTATCTTGAGGTTCTTGTCCATTTTAAGTTCATCCAAATGATATGCTCTTTGGACAGCTGTTCCAGTTGTTCCATCCTGTAAAATTAAAACTTTCTTCATTACTACATGGACATCTCATAATAATTTTACTTACTTTTAATGTGAAATTCTCATTAGTCTATTATGATAACTTTTGTCAAGATGGATCAACTTATTAAATCTAGAATCAATGTATGCTTATGTTGGGCTAGTGGTCTGCACAGTACCATGCACACAACTTATCGGTTGTCGAAAAACCAGCAGAAGCTTTGTTCTACTGAAGAGGAACCAATTTAGCCCCCTGGCTGAGATTCGTGCCACTTCTACGTTTAACTTATGCTAGGGATGATACTTAGTATTGCAATAAAATTGTAGCTAAATTAAACTTGAACCATATTGTTAGCCCTAAAATATAATTAACCAGTTTTATAAAGAAATTAGGTCATGTGAGTCATGTGAGAAGAGGTATGAAGTATTGATGCTCCAGAATTTGCAAACACCATATTTTTAATATTATGAATGTGGATGTATTAAGTAACAGTGTAAACACTCTAAGTAAGGGCCATTGTGAGTGAGGTTTTTCTTCCTGTGTTTTGCTTAAAGCCTGTTTGATGAAACTCACTTCTTCGACATTACCTATATTTCTTAACTGAGCAGTGACTCACGGTGCCAAAGTTTCCACACTCCATTAGACACGCAACATAATAGAAGGAAATTTGAATCACATGAATTGTATTGCAGCAAAAAGGTAGTAAACAAAGTCGTCCCCTGCTCTAACTCCAATTATCATAACCACAAGAGGTGTGAAGGGCCCATTAATATAAATACAGGAGGTGAAAGATGAATTTGCCACTTCAAGGAAAAACTTAGATGCAACCCATTGAGAGATCACGAACAACAATTCCGTGATTGCTAAGAAGGTGGACAATTTTTCGTCTAATTCTAAATTTGCCAAAATGGTTTAAAGAATATTTCAAGTAAAATCTAGTAAAGAAGACCTAGAGGATAATGTCAAGCCCATGGCAAGATGTCATGCAATTGAATGAATGTGCAAATGGAAACCGCAATTAATTCCAAAATTGAAGTTTGGGGAAGCTCTCAAAGCAACAATTCCTCTAAGATCACGCAAACAGTCAAAAGTGATAGAGGAAAGAAACAGTAGTCAGAAAAATATCATTGCTAATGGAACTCACAAAAGTAAGTTAGAAACACCTGCTGAGAGGAAGGCATATGAAAGTGAAAGAGCTACCTACAAAATTCACCGCCTGCATTTTGCAAGCCATACGCCTGGGAACGGCCAATTCTACTAAAACTCTGCCACTGAAGATTATGTTGAAATCAGCAGAACTTACTAACGCTAAAAAGATCAACAACTGCCCAGAAAATTGTATTTAATGAGGATTAGACCCCTTTACAGAACGAGGATATTAGGGAGCAGAGAATGGAGCTGGCAGAAAGACAGAAGGTTGACGTGGAAGCAACTATAAAATATAGGAACGGTATACTGAAAATCGTCAGCGGTCGTCATGCTTCTCAGCAGAAAAACTAGCAATGGCAACAGTATGTTACCCTATGATTTACTACACCAATCTAGCCAGCCTTTTACCAAAGTTTGTATAATTATCTAATAATCCAAATATTACGCAACAATTTTTACTGTTGCTTTAAAAACAGTTAGGAGTAGGTGTTACACACATTAATCTGTAATTGACCAAATGAAGCACCAAGAAAGTCACGTTTTATTTCCAAACAAATTCACAGTAAAAAAAATACACCAGCTGAGTTCCAATATTAGTCAAGTAGTTTTTTCTTGTCCAGTATCAATACAGTGTATAATAAAATAATTTTACTTACATCACAAATCACATATGACACTGTATCACCAGCTTTCATACGGCACATCCCTTTTTTCAAGAGTCGTTTTGCAACTAACACGTGTGGCTGACTCTTGTCGTCTGTGTACTGCTCAAGAGATCTTGACAGCTGTTTAGATACTGTCAGAAGAGGAAGAGGAACACAACCAGCTTTCAAGTCTTCCCCCAGTTTTCTAAGATGATTTTCTATTAACACTAGCCTATCTTCCAGAGGCAAGTCAGACAGAAGTTGTTCAACAACAAAACTGGAACAAAACAGACTTAAATTTACCAGTTAAAAATTTAAAAAACATTAATTAAATGTTTAAAAATATTGTATCGAATGCTATTTGTTATATTTATCTGTCCCAACTTTGAATGTGATGTGCTAAGTTGTTTATAACAAACAAAACCCACATCAAAATACTACATAAAGATGATGAGAGTGAAAGAAATGAAAAAAAGCCGCTGCAAATTCCATCAAGGCCAATGCCAATAGTCAAAACGTTTCTCTAAAATATCACTCACAACATTTAAATTTCAGAAAATACATTATAAATTACAAAATATTAGATAAAAACTGTAGATAAAACTCACTTGCCACTTTCAATAGCTATTCGTGACCAGTCTCTGCGTACAATGTCAAGTCCTTTGTGTTTTATCTTTGTTTTAAGAGTGCCATCAGAGAGTCTAATCACTTCTGTTACAGCATACTTTTTTTTCTTCAGCAAAAGCATAAATTTATACACCCCATCAATGTCCAAATTTACACACCGATACAATTTGTTCACGGACTGCAAAATCTAACCAACAAAAATAATAAATAGGTAAAGGAAGAAGAATTACAATTTGGTTTAAATTTTTAAAAAAATATTTAATATGTAGTATAAAAATATAATAATTAAGTGGATAAAGGAGAACTAACCTGTTTCCCAATTTTTGTAACCTCTTCATAATCTGCACAGTTTGTATTTATCATAATGGAATCTGTATCACCGTAAATTACTTCATAATTCATGGTTTCCACATACTCCTTTGTTTTCATCAGAATCTCACGACCCTTTGCTGAAAACCAAAGGGAATGTATGCCTTAAATCTATATTTTTCTTTTCAATTGGTAGATGAAAAAAGTGAAAATGGTAGGATCTTCACTCTCATCGCAACGGATGTTGCAAAGGAATCAGCCTGTTTTCGTGAGAACATGGTGAAGCCATGAGCCTGTCCAATATAATAAATATACATGCAAAATTTCCAAAATACTTTAAGCAAAATAGTTTTATAATTAGTTAAAACAAGCCATTGAACTTCAAAGAAAATCCACTCATTCATTGCTTTAATTGACCAATTTCGTGACCTCATAGTCAATTCATTACAATAAGCGATAAGACTCAAAGGATGTAACACTCTATAAAGCGGTTAAAGTAGAGACAAATTTCACATTAAATTTGATAGCATAAAAACACAAGAACGTTGCCCTACTCTAATACGATGACTACTTACCAGTAATTAATGCAGCAAGTGGTTTGGCATAGAAGCGGGCATTTGAAAATCCTAAACATCCATAAGTACTGTTGGCCATCAACTTCAGAGCTATTTGTCGTGTTTGAAGCTGAAAAATTTTTCTCATTAACAAGGAATTCACAAGAACCATGCATTCAACTGCTTCATGCACGAACAACTTTGGTTGTAGTTTCAACTTGAAACACCCATACAATCGAGTGCTGTTTACTTTCAGGCTCATACACATAAACCCACAATTCATCACCTGTCACAATGTCATAGACGTGTTTCAAAGCACTGCGATCGTATTTTTTGAGCATTTCTTTCTACCAATCGACACAAGCGATTGACAAATTGTGTGGGATCCAACGCGAACAAATTTTTTTAACAGTCAAATATTAATGCAATATTGAATGTATGCTGGTCCCACTAATGCCTAAGGTTGTCTCAATTTCACAATAGGTCACATGACAATCTTGCAATATCAGTTCACGCACAGTATCAATGGTTTTCGGAACAACAACTGATTTTGGACGACCTTCGCGAAATTCTATGCGAGTGAACTATGACCACGATTGAATTCAGCATACCATTGATAAACACTGATCCTTGATGGAGCTTCATCACCAAAAATTGAACTAAGTTCATCCATGCACTGTTGCTGAGTTAATCCATGTCGAAAATTGTAAAAAATAATCGCACGAAAATGTTCACGATTTAATTCCATTTTTGGGCCAAGATGAATCTTTTATGTTACTGTAAACAACACAAATAGCGCTCGTATGTCAAATCGTTCTAAGTACGTATAATCTCAAAACATCCTACTTTACGATAGAGCTGTCAGTTGCCAGATTGCAAAACCAGGGTTGCCAAATCCCGAAACATAAAAGGCAACCTTCGTACAGCCTGTGACTACACAAAAAGAAACTGGCAGAAGCATCAGTTCAAATTACATGCCCAGAAATAAATAAGGAGCTCAATATTTTATTGAATAAATATTTTAGCTGCATAACTCTTAACAGATGTAATATTAGGGAAAGAAACAACAGGGGATTATCATTAATTAGTATGTGACTCTCTAAAGCATAAGACTTTAGTTGACACTGGAAATAGGCGAAAAATTATTCAAGCATTCTAGGAATAATGTTAATTTCTGTAAGGCTTGGTTAGTTTTCATTGTGTTCATTGTTGTGCCACTGTATACTATGGTTATAACATACAACAATTAATTTTAGTACTAATTTAATAGATTAAATGAATAGTACACATAAAACACTTAATTCTATTAAAGCACTCGTGTGCGGCAAGCAATGTTTGCCTCACTCAACAGTTTCACCAAAATGCAGAGAAACACTCCCCCAGCTCCATCTACAGGCGCCGAGCCAGTGTTTGCTGTGATGCAGCAGCCGGTTTGAATTTCACGTCCGAAAGTAACATAAACTCAATTATCTTGAAGACAATATTTTTTTGGAAAACTCGATCTGCCAATCTTTAATACAGTTAACACAGAATCTGGGCTTGATTTCTGGTGGAACAGGGTACCAATACATCACACCTCGGGAATATATTAATAAATCATATTATAAATATATAACGATTGCTATTAAATTAATAATTAATTTGCAGTGCGTTCGGGTATCTAAAATTTTATAAACCAATTTTACATATTGTATTTAATTAAATGTGTACTAATTTCTATATCGGAATCATCGTGTTTCCACGAAAATATATTGTTAATAAAATACCTGAGCTCGTTCAACTGCACTTAGTTTGGGATCACCCATTAGCTTTCTTACAGCTGCTCGACTTTCAACAAGCTTGCGAATTTCTGCTGGCAAGATGCCGATCTCCAGATCTTTTGAAGGAACATCTGGTATCATCTGTAAACAATGGATCAAGATTAGTACATTATAGAAATAAATAAAAAATGATTCAGAAAATAACAGCACACACAAATATTTTTACATATTCAATATCTGGAAAGTAGTTTTCCTTTCAACTATTTTTACTCAATGATTGTCATAGGTGTGTGGAGTCAGTCTAGCGAATGCCTCTCTACCAAAAGCTGGAATGCAGATGAATCAGCAGCTACCCTAGCTCCATTATTATGGTAAACACAAAACCTCTATTGGGAAAAGCAGGGATGCGGAAGAGTGTTCAATCTTACCCTTTTCCTCAACAGCTATCCAGCCAATTGTGACCTACAGGTCTAACACCTGACAGCTATAAAACTCGTACATTGAACATTCTAGCATAGACAATGATATCATGGTGAAACCCGAGTCACTAAAGGAAAGACATGTCGACCTCACATAAACAATTTGTGTGTGTGCGCGCGCGTGTGTGTGTGTGTGTGTGTGTGTGTGTGTGTGTGTGTGTATGTGTGTGTATGTGTGTGTGTGCACGTGCAAGTGTGTGTTACTATTATAATAACAAAATATATAGTTATGTTCTGAGCAATAAGTTCCTGAACTAATAAAATGATAACAAAATATTAAGTATTAAAATCAAACACATAACAGGATACAAAATTAGATGCTCACATTTTCATCTGTAGAAACTGTTTGTGTCACAGTCGTGAAACAAATGTTGTACTCCATGATTATACTTGGATACAAGGAATTAAAATCCATCACCAAGACCATCTTGTCGTAGAGGCCTTTCTTAGGTTCCAAAACAAGACCTCCAGAATAATTGGGCTTTTTACGACCCTTTCCACGTTTGTCCGCTTCCTCTTCTTCAGAATTCTGCACATTAGAGGCAATCAAATTAATAAATTATGACAAAAAGAAAACAGATTTTATTGATAAATGAACAAGTGTCACCATAAAGGCAACATCAACAGTGAGAGCACAAACATTTACAATAGAATAAAATACACTTATATACTTTCGAGTTCCATTTATAGAATTATATTCTATGAAAATACAAAAAGATACAAAAGAGGTTTTGATAAAAAAATATAATGTTTTCTATTATCTTTCTAACGTAATCTCCTACTCATGTTGGGTACGAACATCAATACCCTGGTTTATTTTTATCAGTACTGGAATTGAGAGTGGGATAAATTCAGGGAGTTAGTACATCAGCTCAGAGAACTTTCTTCTTAACATTAATACCTAAACCTCTACCTAGTCTGGTTGTTTCATCTTTCCTGAACAGCTCACATTTATCAACTTCTACCAAAGCATCTGTTGTATTGTACCGCATCTTATTGTGGAAACACCTGCTGGAACCTATGCAAACAAACTAGATATCTGCTAATGCGATTCCAAAATAATTACAAAAATTGAATTACATAAAACTAGTACTAAGAAATCAGAGTAGTGACAGATCTAGCCGTCAAGGGTTGGGGGTACAGCTGGAAATACTTCTTTCCTATTCGCTGACTGCTGAACCTCCTTATTCACACATGCCATCCTGTTTCTGTATGTTCCTTTTAATGTTTTGTGATGGACACTGCTTCCTCCAGTATTGAGGTAAGTAATGGCTGCAATTAACCAAATGTTTATTTGACCTAACATTGCACAAGTTATGTCATAAACTAGAATTAATATTTGGAACTCCAATTTATCAAGCAACTTTACTTTATAATCATGATATTTGAGGATTTAAATTCAGACTATAAAACCTTCCTCATAAAATTTTGAAGTTCCATTGTATCTAAATTTCTGAAATAATGAATATCTGAAAAAAATTCTTAAGAAATCTACTAACTCAGTAGACTATTCACACCAGAATATAAACAACTTGCCACATTAACGGCAAACAAAACAAGTGGTGGTACAAAGGCATATATTTCCTTGTATTATTTGTAATGATTATGTTATATCATAATATTGCAACTTCTAACGTATTAATTCTTCAGTTATTTCTTGAAAAAAATTTTGTGAGCGAAAGAACCACCATCAGAGTTCCAATTGGCAACTGCTTGAAGCTCAGAGTAAAAACACTGATTGAAACATTAATTATAAAAGCCATGGTAAGCCTGCTATTAAAAAAAAATTAAGTCTAGGCCAATCTGTATTGTTTAATCGCAATAAATACAACAAAGTTTAGTTAGTTACACCATTTATAACACCAAGAGTGGCTGGACCAATTTTAATTATCTCTGATTAACTGGATTCATCTCCGTCCCGAATATCAGAATAACTATTAAAATATCGGAAAAATTCACGAAAAAGGGAAAGAACAAAACTAAATATCCATGTCAAATGCAACCCGCAACACTCAGCAGTGTTGTTTTGACTCTATATTGTCAGATAACTCCTAAACAAGGCGTTCTATGGCATTAAAACACTAAAATTTTGAATCCCCAGGCCTTAAAAAACGTTTCTCACGCCGTAATCTACAGGATGAAATCTTCTTGAACATTCTATTACATTTTTGCTGGTCCGGCGCATCTCGATGTTACCCCATCTGCTCAGAGACATGCAGAATATGCAACTAAATGTGTGTGTGTGAGAGAGAGAGAGAGAGTGAGTGAGTGAGATGGAGCGAGAGACAAAAAAACAAGAGAGGAGAGTGAGACAGAATGAGACAGACGAGAGAGAGAGAGAGAGAGAGAGAGAGAGAGAGACAGTGACGAAGAGACAGAGAGAGAGAGAGACAGACGAAGAGACAGAGAGAGAGAGAGAGAGAGAGACAGAGACGAAGAGAGAGAGAGAGAGAGAGAGACAGAGACGAAGAGAGAGAGAGAGACAGAGACGAAGAGAGAGAGAGAGAGAGAGACAGAGACGAAGAGAGAGAGAGAGACAGACGGAGAGAGAGAGACAGAGACGGAGAGAGAGAGACAGATGACGAGAGAGACACAGAGACGGAGAGAGAGACAGATGAAGAGAGAGACAGAGACGAAGAGAGAGAGAGAGACGAAGACATGCTGAGAGGGAGAGAGACAGAGGGAGACAAAGGAGGAGAGAAAGAGAGGGAGAGGGAGAGAGAGATGGACAGAGAATAGGAGAGAAAGTATGAGATGAAGGGTGACAACAATGTCTGCTGGTTTCCATTAGTATGTTATATTTGTTGAAAATTTAGCTTAATGGAAGGATTGGATAAATCAATTTCCATAGAAGTAGCTAATGGTCTAGGTATTATAGAGCTGGAAAAGTGTACCCAATGGAACAAAATAAATTAGAATGTGCTATTAAAAAACAGGACTATGATGACACATGGAAAGAAAGAGTGAAGATATAAAAAATTGCAACTAAAACACCCTGAAATGATTCTCCTAACTGGTTAATCTAGTTTCATAGTAAAGTACAAATATTATTGCATATGTGAAAATATTTAAAAATGAACAACCACAACAACAAAATATTTTCTTATGAGAATTATTTTTATTTCATGACCTTTCCAGAAATTTAAATTGTCCAAACTTGAAGCTCTCGGGTTTTCTGGGTATTGTTGTAACTAACGCTTGAATGTTAACCTCTAAACGTTAGAAATATGCAAGCATTTATGACCTCAAAAATATGAAAATATGACTATTAATGTGACATAAAAATGTTTGGTTGGATTTTTGAAATCTTCAAAAGATTGCCGCTGTCTCAATAACCATTATACTGAAAATATACTATTAAAATCTAGGATGTGAAGACAATTCTACCTGGAAGAGTTATTTATAGAAGCGGTTGATCTTGGCACAAAACTGAACAATGCTTCCTTCTCATCTGGTGCTTTCAACATTGAAGTCCCTTTCTAATATAGCTTACACTCCTAATTTACACAAATGTTTATTTATAGAAAAAGTAGGCAATTAGATAAAAGTGTAATAAATTACAGATAACTATTTGGAGATATGAAGAATCTCCTTAAAACAACTGCAAACAAGTAAGAGAAAATGGATCAAGAAGATAAGAATATGACCTTTATATGAAAAATTAAGGTACAATGAAAACAGGATTTAGAAATAGCCAAAATATGACTGTAAATGTGTAAATGACATCAATAATGGGTAATTTTAGTCATTGTAGATAAAACCATGCTTAACTTATTTTTTTTTTTACTTCATATAATTTCTGTGCAAAATATTCGACATAAATATCAGGGTGCTTTTGATACCTAGGAAATATGTAATATGATTAATATAAATAATGTTGAATACACAGCAAATGAAAGGAACTAAAAATGAAGTTAAAACAGCAAGAAAGCCTTTTTTTTTTACATTATATGTAAAGATTGGAACATTACTTCTTATAAAGTATTGACAAAAAATAATTGTTGAACATTACTCTTTTTGCTAAAACAAATCCAATCATACAAACAATAATTTGTTTTTGTAATTCACTCAATAAAGTTTGAAGTAAAAATGTAAATTAACAATGTAAAATAAATCATTAGCATGGAAGAAATCTAGAATGATAGTTGGATGATATGGAAGAAAAAATACAAAATTACATACAGTGAAATATGAGAGACAATCAAACAATTCATATTTAAATTATTTATATTTTATTTGCATCTTGCGTAAAATGTTTCACAACCCAATTGGTTGCATCTCCCGGTGTTCTGTAATACAGTTTTAAAAACAATTACAAATATTTCTTTCATCTTAAAGTATAAAATTTAGAAAAACATTGTAAACAATACAAGAATTAAAGTAGAATTAGAATTCAAATTTTAAATTAAAATCAAAGAGAAAACAAGGACTGTGGTTGCAACAAAATCTCTAACAGTTTAAAATTTTTAAAATTTATAGGTACAAAGTACAAGTCTAGCCTGAGATAAATAAGAAAAACATTAAAAACACACTTTCACAAATTTAAAGGCACTAGTAAGGCATAATAAAATAAAAAGGATGGTAGAGACTAAAACGATCAATTTCAGAATCGACCAACAGCATCGAAATCACAAAGCCAAACAATAAAAAGGCAACTAGTGGGGAAGGGATGTGAAGGGGGAAATAGTCCAGCAAAGCAAGGAACAAATAAACAATTGAAGAAACAACAGAAAACAAAAATTTATTGAAACCTCTGGAATGTAATTTAATTTTGGCCAAAACATTATCGTAGGCGTTAGTGAAAATATTGGATTCAACATACTATTGACAGTCTGATGAATTTGATATTTAAGGTCACAAAAATCAAACAAGGGCATTTTCTTGATTCCGCCTCTAAGATGGAAGGTTTTTGAAAATCAAATTTATGTGAGATATTGAGTGTATGGCATGAAATAGAATTTAATTTTTCAGTGGAAACTTTCATGTTATTTTTCTGTTCTTTCATCCTCTGCTGAAGGCACCTTCTGGTTTGGCCTATATACCACAGCAGACAGTCTAGGCAGGAAACAGAGTAAACATTTTCTTTGTCTTTTGAAAACTTTTTTACAGTACACCTGAAGAGGCAACCGATTGGGTTCACAAACCTCGCTTTTATGCAAGATGTAAATAAAATATAATTAATTTAAATATGAATTGTCTGATTGCCTCTAATACAAGGGGATACAACTGAATGCAATAATATTAAGTAGACAGACAATTTTTGGTAAAGAAGTAAAAGAATAATAGAGGAAATAGAGAAAACATGTCAAGAGAATGGACAAACTGTGATTACCACAGATGGCATGGACCCTTCGACTGCCCTGGAGGTGTTAAGATGTGAAAAATATTCATGACTGAGAGCCTGTGAATGTGTTAGCATGTGCAGTTGGACTGTAGCTAAGAACCTCTGGGATGAATATGGGCATGGCCATTCACCTTGAAATGCCATTTGCAAGGGACAACTGATTGCATATATGAATGATTGAATTGCATTATAAACAGTTCTGTATATTAACACCATAGTTTGGTGCCATTATGGTTCACTAGTCTTAAATTTTTACGAGTTATTTCAGGGTTTTGTTACAATACGAATGCTTATTGTCAAATTCAGTGCTCTCTACATAGGAACAACCAAAGTTAGTATCTTAAATTCTGTTAACATCACTAGTGTGTGCTTTAAGAAGTATGAGGAAAGGGTGCTCCATACTCTTGAGAGACTGCCCCACAAAGAAGTTTATGGCTGCACTGACATTTTTCAATCATTGTTTTATTTTCAATCCTGCCATACATTAAAACCCCTGAAATACCATTTGGTTTTCCCTAGCTTATATTTTCTTACTGATGCCTTTTGGTGTTTACATTGTTAAATTGTAAGTTTTTTCTATATGTCTGTGTTCAGCTCTCATCACACTCGTGTAATCACAAATTACCGCAGCTAACAAATACTGAGCTTAGCCCAACCAGCTGGCTCAGGAAAGTGTGGCGCTAATGGCCTTGCAGATTATGTTCTCTAGGCATGCCCATAGAAGAAAAAAGGTTAAATTAAAGGGCAGAAGGCAAGAGGCACAGAAGAAGACTGACAAGAAGAAGGCATCATCAGCAACACTTCAACACATGAAGGAATACTGCTTCATCACTCACTGACAGGTCAGGAAAATGATTCCTAAACTGAGAGTGTTGTTGTTGTTGTTGTTGTTGTTGTTGTTGTTGATGATGATGATGATGATGATGATGATGATGGATATAAATAATCTAAATAATAAAAAGTAGATTTTGTATTACCTTGACAATTGCCTTCTTGTAAGTCTTTTCAGGAGGAATAAATTTTTTTTCATGGAAGGCATGTAATAACAAATATTCATTTCTCTCTGCACGACCACCCATCAGTGTTCGAGATAAAACGTTACCTAAAAACAAAAATGCTCGATACTGTGAGAAAGCAAAGTAGGCAATACAAACAGAAATAATGAAACACAAACTATAAAAAAGTAAATATAATAATATTACATAATAAATAATTCAACCCAACTCTGCACCATAAAACTAAGAATTTTTTCGCTTATATGCCCTGTGAGATTGTAGTCTGACTGTGTGCCTTCCAACAATGGGGTCAGGCTCGGATCCTTATTCAATCCAAGTGGAATTTGTGCTAGACAAAGCGAGTGCCAGAATGGTTTTCATAACATCATTCTATGAGTGAGCAGGAATTTTGTGTTTCTGGGCACATTAGTAGTCCCATAAATAGAGTCCATGAAATTTCCTGGGTGGTCTTGTTTCTCCTCCACTGGAATGTGGAATCTGGTGCCGACAGATGCTTTGACTTGTGAGATGTCACACAGGACAGGAACTCTCCAGGTATCTCCCCCAACATGGCATTGTCTCTAGTAGGCAGGAACTACGCTTCTGCTATCCACAAAGTGAAGTGCATAAGGGCAAGTCTGCCCAGGGAAATGGGCAGTTTGATAAACAGCTTGGGATCCTTTGTTGAAACTGTGAGCATGTCTACCTCACTTATCTTTGTGACAAACTTTGCTGCCTGGTCAGCAATTTCGTTCCCTATTATCCCAATGTGACCACGGAACCAATGAATTATAACGACGAACCCGTAAATAAAAGATTTGGTGAAGGATTATTATTGTCAGAGGGTCACAAGAAGAAAAGCAAGAGATAGATTTAGGCAAGATTTTGAATCACTGAAGATTACAGCATCTTTTAATGTCATCGATTCAGTGAACTTAAGTGTCTCTAAGAGTTCATATTTTTCTTCCAGTAAGTGCTGCACGAAGAGTCTTGTCGAAGACTCTGCTGCATGGCACTATGGCACTAGAAGGCACAACCTACATTACCATTCTGGGACAAACCATCAGTGTATATGAAGATAACCAGGGTACATGGATCTCATCCTCTGGAATTCCACAAAAATGTACAGGAGGGAGTTGAGGATTTGGGGAAGTGTGAAAATCTTGGGTCTATTTTAGGTTGGAGAAGCTTCCAAGAGGGAACAACAACATTGGGTGGGGGCGGGGTCACAGGGATAGGGAGTTTTATATCAAATTTCTACAAAAGCGTGTACAGATAGATACCTGGAGGATGGGGTAACGTGGTCTGAGTTCGTACAACGTCCTGTGACTTGGATGAAGGACTGCTTGGCACGAAGGAGTACTTATGACTGATACTTTCGCACCATGAGAGATGATTACAATACCTCACCTTCACCAGCCTCAGCCAAGAGGCATTCAATGACCGGAGGGTCGATGTAGATGCTGACCCATAAACAATACACCCATAATCTAATAGAAGTGCATGCAACTGGATTTTGAGGTGGAGAACTTGAATCCAGTTTTGTCTAACCATTCTTGAGGACAAGCTGTAGCTGCCTCTCAATAACTTGCATGCTCTTTAAGGAGCAGAACATGCCAATGTCATCAATGAAGAGTGATGCTTTCACAGGCTCTCGAATTACTGATGCAATTGATAGCAACAGCAAACAGACATTCAGTATTGATCCCTGGGGAATACAGTTTTCTAACTGGTGAATTCTTGAAGATAATGTGTCACCAAGGCGGACATGGAAAGATCTTGACGAAAGAAAATCTACTAGAAATGAAGAGAGCCGTCCCCTAAGGACCCAAGAATGCAAGGTGCGTAAAATGCTGTTCTTCCAGGTGGTGTCATACGCTTTCTCGATGTCAAAAAAAATTGCTACCAGGTGTTGTCATAGCACGAAAGTGGAGATCTGAGTGGCAAGGGAGACTAAATAGTCCATGGTTGACCTTTGATTCCTGAAACCACACTGAAAAGGTGTAAATAGATTCCTTAGCTCCAGGAGCCAGACCAGACGTTTCTTTACCATTCATTCTAAATATTTGGACCCACAACTTGTGACAGAATTAACAGGGGTAAGGGTTTGTTCTTTCCTTTCCTTCTTTAGAGATTGGTATAACAATGGCTTCACATCAAATCACGTAGTTCTCCATACTTCTTTTGGTCTTCAGAAAGCTAGGAGAGTAGTGTACAAGGCTGGAGAAATGCGCATAGTGAGGGGCCAATTCTTCAACTATACCTCCTGGTGAGGTGTTATGGTTTCCATTTACCAGAAGTCCAAAGACAGACGGCGAAGGAAGTCATCCATCAATCTGTCACCTTTCGCCTCACTACTTCAGGGGGCGTACAGAAAGAGAGCGATGAAAACTCCAGGCCACGACCTTACTTTCCCGTATGGTCAATCTAGCTCTAGCTCCTGATCTTCTATAATTGACAGTCCACTGAAAGATGGTAGAAAACAGTGGACTACAGAGAGCAAGATCAATGGACGAGAAAGTGATTCAAGGAAAAATGTGTGCTTTAGGCAACATTCAGATGAATTAAGTTCTGGGTGTCAATAATATTTTCAAGTATAATGCCTCTCAAACAGGTCCTAGTGCCACCCAGCATGGCGGGATCGTGGGCATTGAAGTCCTCCACAACAAGAAAAGGGGCGGGCAACTAATATAACATATCTTCAAGTTCCTCTTTATACACGAGTTGATCAGGCGGGATATAGACGTTGCAAAGAGTTATCGATATAGTGCGGAAGTTCACACGAACTCAAGATGTCTGAAGAGTGATTCGTACGTCTATTTCTGTGGACACCTGGGAGTCTATGACAAATGCAACAACACCGCCATGTGCCCTGTGGCCATCATCATCTTGTCTGTAGAAATAAAAGCCACAAAGAGAGAAGTAATGCTCAGGAGGATGTTAATGATCAGGAAGATAACAACGGGTCTGTACAGAGACAGACCCTTTAATTCGTGTAAATGGGTGCGAAAGCCATGTAGGTTCCCCAAGAGGAGAGCTTTAACTTTTAGAAGTTAAGTTTCTTTGCTTCCAAGGGGATTTTTTCTTCCCGCTTTTCTGTTTATGCCTCTGCTACCCGAAGCGCTGACTGTCCACCACGGTAGAAGTTTCCTCCAAGGCAGATTCCTCCTGAGCACTGCTTGACAGGCAAAGACATCACTTAGAGCGGGTCTCAGGTAGGTGGGCGGAGTTTGGAGGAACGATCTTTTTCAAGTATGTCTGAGGCAGGACAAGTGACATCGACCTTCATGCGGGGCTGAGAAGTGGATTCTAGGTCTGACTTTGCCTGTGTAGTTTTCTTGGGCAATTTATACATTTAAAGGGAATTATAATCTTCCCACCTTGGAAAAGGCAATGTGTCCTCAGGGAAGTCAACTGGAGACATCTGGAAACAAATGAACACCTGGGGGAGTAGCAGGTGAAGTCTGACAACTCGCTGTTGCTTTTGTCGTCTTGGCCAGAGTACTGGAAAATAAACATCCATGATCTACAGGGCTCTTCACGAAGTTATCAGCGTTTGGCCTCAGGAAAAGATAACTTCTCCCTCACTGATCATTTGGATCTCCCTCTCCCTCAGATATGTAGGGCACCTGTTTCAGTTGTTCGCAGTTAACACAGCGAAGTGGGGAGGCACAGGAACCTGTATCTTGCAAGAATTAGCCGCATTTTGCGCAATCACTGCTTATGGCCATGCCCCGCTGGTGGGTATAGCCGAACCTCTGACATTTGAAGCAACGTAGGGAGTTTGGCACACATGGGAGTGCCGCACGTGGAGATTATAAAACCCACGATTAATCCTGTCTGGGAGAGAGAGGAGATTAAACATCAGGATCAGAGTGGGAGTAGGGATCCCTCTCCGGTTCTCCTTCCTCTTGATTTTAAAGACCTTCGTTACGCCCTGACTCTTAAAGAAAGACAGAACTTCCTCCTCACTTTTGGATGCAAAGTCGCCGTGATTCACCACTCCCTTACATAGGTTAAGGGAAGGGTGAGTGGTCACTCCCATGTGGAAGGTGATAATCTGTCAAGTTTTTGAGATTTTTTTCGATTTGCTTATCGTTGCGTGCTTTAAAGAGAATGGTGCCATTCCTCTGATGCACCACCACTTGGAGTTTACCAAAACTGTCCTTAATGGCTCGCGCGATACAAACCACACTAATACTTTTAAATGTTTTTTTCTTCTTCCGTGCACGCCATCAAAACGCTTCTTTGGTTTATCTTCTTCCCTAAGGTAGAAACTAAACAAAACCACCGTTCTCTCAAAACATCGCCTCGCTCTTACTGAAGAGGGCAAGGGGTTTGTTTTATGCTCCATAGAATTGAAGTGGATTCGTCTCTGTGCTCCCCACCCACCACGGAGTCCAACAAGGGGACACCCCACTGGGGTTAACACGAAGGGTTGACACGAAGATTATTGGGAAGATGTCACAGCGCTGCTATGCCGTGGATCCCCCCGCTCACCCTGGAGTTCAGTTCAAGACCTAGCCCTAACCGATTGATCGGGAGTAGGTTAGCTCCCAACTGCCTGTCTAGAAGAGTCTGAGGACAAAGCAAGTGTGTTGGAAACTTACAAGGAATGTTCCCCAAAATACATGAACATATCCCTAGGTGCAAGGCAGAAAGTAGCACAAGGAGTAGTTGGGAAACAAACACTTTAACTTCCAGGTCCTTTAACTTCCAGGTTACACCTTCCCTCCGGCATGGGTCACTATGCACGGCAAACACATGGGTGGGCACTCTGCATACAGGGGGTAGTGAAATAGAAGGGGTAGAAGAAAAGAGACAGGATGTTATTGAAGAACAAGAATGAATGATGGAGAAGAAAGGAACACGAGAAAATGGTGTTGTTGTTTGGTGTGTGTGTGATTTTTTTTTCTCCCATGAAAATAAAAATAAAATCCTGAGATTGTGCCGACTTCTAAGTCTCCTGATGCCCTGCTATGGTACATGTTTTTTAAAATATTCATTACAATTGAATAACATTTTCAATTACAGATGTGTCTACATAACTAAATGTAAAAGTCATCTACAACACACAAATGTAAAAGTCACTACCATCGCAGCTGTGCTAAAATGGTCATAATGTTATCGAGCGATGGATTTTCCAACTGGCATTCCACCATCACGATAAAGAATCTCAAGGGTTATGTTGTCTGATCAAAAATTTGAATTATTAGCCAGCCATAACGGATACTGTAGTGAGGTGCTTGGATGACCTTCAACTGCAAACAAAAGAGTTCTAATATTCTTCCTTCAGATATTAACATAAAACAAAAAAGGTATATTGTGCTGAAGTTCATGGGAATGGCTCTATTGTCCCGTACTTGGTTTTGAATTCTTGTATTGTTAGCAAAGACATAATTTTCTGTGGTAATTTCTTAGCTGGTTCCACACAGAAATTGCTCTACAAAATTCTCGTCTAATCTACATACGTAGGTTGGCAATCGTCACAAAAACTATGATAAACAATATTCTTTTGACCCAAATTTTCCAATTTGTCTTTTATAACTTTGCAAAGATTGCTCCCTTAGCCAAATGTACAGTAAGAATTGTAACTTAGGGGAAGCTATCAGCACCCACAGATCCTACGTTAGCGATTTCAATGTGTTCATACTCCTAATTTCATACACCATGTGTTACCCCTGACTGCATGTTTTGCCATACTGCACACACCAACTTGAAGATTCAATGTGGAAGTACTTTGAACAACAGAGTAAAAGTGTAGAAAAGTGATTAAGTTAGAAACACCATATTTCATTACAAATTAATCATGAAAAATACTCTTCTTTCATTGCTTCAACATTTTTTTCTTACTATAGCAACTATATTTAATACAACAAACGTAAAGTCATATTGTCAAATATTTGAGTCCCTTATACTCTAATTCCTTTCTTACGAACGTTAAGAAGGTATCTAGTTGGAAAGATACAGATGGTGAAAATAAAAAAAATAATCTTAAAAGTCTGTCTGGGCTTTTGTTTATAATAATTTTGTTTCCAAAAACTCACCAGCAATATTTGTGATCTGAAGAGATATTGGAATGGCAGAAATCTGACACATTATTTGTAGTGCACAAGCAGTGTCAAATAATGTCTGATTTATCAAATTCTTCAATTTACTTCCACTTTCATAACATTTACGAACTTCCTCAAATGTTACAGCAGGATGAGTTTCTTTTTCCAACACCTGGAGAACAAAATTTTAAGAACATGCAACAAAGCAGCAATAGAGAAAAATAACAAGTTTTTTTTAAAGCAAACCATTTTCAAGGATGGATAAATTTTAACAGCCTAAAAAAAACATCCTGTTATAGAACATGAAAAATATACATCTAAAGTACATAGTACATCAAAAGCCTACACAATCCATTTACATGTTTTAATAATTCTATAATTACTTCAAATAAAACATAAATTTATACCTTGAAATATTCCTTAATATAACAAATGTATAAAACAGTTCAAGTGCCAAAAATGCATTTAAACTGTTTACAGATCTCTGTACACAACTGCAATACTCAATACAAATACAAAATTAACTAACAATAAAATACAAACAGCAGTGGCTTAGTACTGAAAACTCCAATTTCTTCACAAAAACATAGACAAACAAGTACGTACATAAACCTAGTAACCTTACCATCAATGCCCAAGGCACTGGAATAGAGTTAGGAACACACTTTTTAACATTTTCCCATTAATAACCAACTTTGGATGAAATTATTGTAATGGGTTCTATAGTAGATCTTACTATAACTTCGGAGATGGCATGACAAGTGCAGTGCTCAGCTTGATATTTTCTCAATATTCACCAATAATAAAGCTAGTAAATATTGGCACTCATTTGCTGAGAAGATTGAGTAGACATCGGATCTGACCTGAATAGGATATGGCTGAATAAAAATCCCCGGGTATGGTGTTTGAAGTCTGATCTCCCAGGTTAGCAACCTTGTGTCCTCACCCCTACATTACCATAACCAATTCCCATCTTTATTACAATGAAAATGAATATGAAAATTAAAAATGATAATAACCATATTAATAATCACTGAAATAATAATTACAAAATGGCAATAATAATATTAATAATAATTATATAATGACAATCTCAGTATAACAGACTTCAGTTTTACATTACCCCATTGAAATGCCTTATGTTACAACATACTGATATTTCACTATTATGAACTCTTAACTTAGACATATTTCAGAACTACGTAGTATAAATATGTGGATTATAATATTTTTAGTAATATTATCATTCCTTTTGAATCTCCTTTTGTTCCCAGATTTTCTGGAATATGTACTTCATGACGTTTCCTTTATGGTTGTCAATTAATCGCAACATGCATTGAATAACATACCGATTCACAGCACATACAAGCGGTTAATCACGTGATGGAGAATCGAAATTATTCCAATTTTGAATATTACAACCTTCTGGAAATTTATTTCTTGTATTGGTAATTGTAGGGAAAGCTCTGATTGCAAATAATAGTGTTGTGGTGGTTTCAGTTTTCTAAGTGCGTTGTGTGGTGGTTTCAGTTTTCTAAGTGCGTTGTGTGATGGTTTCAGTTTTCTAAGTTCGTTTTGTGATGATAAGTAGGTGTATTCATACAAATGACGGCCCGATTTGGTAACAATGGAAAGTAACAAAAGGAAACAGTAAAACAGAAAGCGGAGATTTAAAAAAAAATAGATAGCGGAATGAAGCAGATTGATGTAGCACATGCGGATGATATGAAGCCAACTTCAGTTTCAACAATTTTAAAAAGCAGAGAAAAAATTCTAAAAATGTAGGAACAATCAGCAATATACATCGACTGAAAGAAGATTCGTTTAGGGGATTTTCATCAAGGGAAAGACACATAGTTCAAGGAAGTTAGGTGTGGTGGACTTCCAGTTTCTGGACCAATGATACAAGAAAAAGCATAACAATTTGTAACACTAATGGATGTTAAGAATTTTCAGGCAAGTACTGTCTGGTGGTTCCGATTTCGTGAGCAATATGACATAACTTGAAGGATGTTGATGGGGTCACAAACGCTGACATGAACACTGCTCGAGAGTAGAAGGAACATCATCTGCAAATGTAATTGAAAAGTGTTATTCTAGAGATATTTTCAATGCAGATGCATTTTTATATGTTGCTGAATAAAACAATGTCTTACAAGGGAGAAAAGTGTGTAGGTGGAAAACATCCAAAAGCAAGATTAACAGCATTATTTTGTTGCAACGACACTGGTACTGAAAAACTTCAAGCCTATTCTAGTAGGACATTGCCTTGATGTTTTAAAGGTGTGGCATCTCTGCCAGTCAAATAGGCAGCCAATAAGAAAGCATGGTTGACCAAAGAACCGTTTGCAGACTGGCTTCTTGAGCTGGACAGAGATATTGGAAAACAGAAGAAAAACCCTGTTGACAATAGGTAATTGCTCTGCTCATGAAGTAAACTGCAGGTTGGAAAATATAAATATTGAATTCCTCCCTCCCAACTGCACTTCTGTTCAGCAGCCACTAGACCAGGGAAATATTCATAATGCAAAGGTCTACTATCGTAAACGGCTGGTTCACCAGATTCTAATCAACCTTATATTGAAAGTTGCAACCAAAATAAACATCCTGCAAGGGATTCAATTGTTAGCAGAGGGTTGGTGGAATGTGAAAGCAACAATTGCCAATTGTTGGAGAAAGTCAGAACGTCGAAGACTAGAGGTTGAGGCTTGTGAAGATCATTATGAAGTATGGGGGACTTTTTTCCATTATTTTTGTTTATTGGGCAAACTATTTAAAGTAAATTAGTTAAAACTGTGTTTTCAATATAAAGTACTTTTCAGTATAAAGAATAAATAAAATGAGTTTATTATGTAGTTTATATGGAGATTTCACTGTAAAAAGTAATGTAAGATACGTTGTATTACGCTACATTAAAAGAGCTTAAAATAAACAAAATGGCAATGCTTACTGATGTGCAAAGTGTTTCCAAGTCGTAACTCCTCACATTCTGGACATGCTCCTTCGCAGCAAGCATTACGTCACACGGGAGGCGGCCACACAGATAGCTTCTTGTAAATGTCATTCTTTTCTGTAAAGAAAATTCTGGGTAAATTCTGTTTTCAAATCTATTAAATGTACAGGTAAGTTTTCATGGCTCGAATCCATAAATTCTCGGCTTTCTGGGAGACGCCACATTGTTGGCTGGGAGGCAGACGTTTCGCCTGACAGGTCGCAGGCTTCCTCAGGGTAGTGAGGCCGGATAGCCGAGAATTTATCTATTAAATACAAGTTTTTAATCTCTAGATAAGGTTAGAAATAACTTCTAAATAACATCACCTTCATGTAAAAAATTGTCTTTAATAATATTAATATGTACCTTAATCTATTGCTATTTTCATGTTAGGGGGTTGCCCATAAATTACATCAAGCTCTTAGGGGAGGGAGGGTCATTAATTCTATAGTTGTGTTGCAAGGGGGGGGGGGTCAAAATTTGTGGCACCATAGTGGAAATTTAAGATTTAACCAAATTTTTGAAATTTTCTTTTATCACGAAATTTAATCTCAAATTTCAAAAATCCATTTTCTAACTTTTCAACAATATTTTTAATATGTTGAATGCTTGCTATATTAAAATATATACAACATATCTAAAATAACTTTTTTTTAATTATATAAGGATTATTAGCTCATACATGTTCAGTGTTATTAACTGTATCCACATTCCAACAATTTTCTGTTTTTTACACCTCTTATATCAAGAAAATGAATTGTATTACATTATTATAAATTCATATATTACTCTAATGTATATTTTATGTAATCAACATTTTGAATTAATAAGATTCGATATTTACAATAAAGTAACATTCTTATTACCTATAATAGAGACCTGACATGATTAAACATTTCACTCATTCGCATAGGAAAGTAACCACAACAGATATGTCCAGAAAGAACATAGGTTTTTTCTGTAAAACAAAGAGATAATTGTTTCAATCTCCCCTTTCATGTAAGTATGAAATAACAATTTGAATGTCATTCTATAATGACAATTTATATTGTAACACAAATTTTGTATAACCTGTACAATCTATGTTTCATGTTTCAGTTTCATGTTACAATAGTTTCGCATCAATTTCAGCAAACTGATAAAGTGAAATAAATGATGAAAAATAAAAGAAAAGGTTAGTAGATTTGTATTTAGCAAAGATTACCTACTCACGTTAATAAATTTGCTTGTTTTAATGGCATTAAATTATAATTAATCTTATTAATCTAATATTAATTAATAATAAAATTAATCTAATTAATTTTATCTACAGTAGCAAAAATCTTTGAAGAGATTGTTTTAGATTATTTAAAACCACAAACGAAAAACCACATAATCAACAACATGGATTTATAACTGGTCATTCAACTTCGACAAATTTACTGATGTTTAGTCATGATTTAATCCGTGCACTAGATGAAGGTGCTCAAATTGATGTGATATATACAGATATCAGTAAAGCGTTTGACAAAGTACATATCAATATTTTATTAAAAAAAATTCATAAACTCAATCTGCGTCACATTCCTATGAACTGATTCAAGACATATCTTACTGGAAGATCCCAAATAGTTTGACACAAAGAATACAAATCCCGTAAAAATTTTTTGTAATTCAGGAGTTCCCCAAGGATCACATTTGGGACCATGGTTCTTCATATAAATGATATCGTTGAAGCTATTTAAAAACTCTTCATTGTAATCTTCTTCGCTGCATATTTGCCCAAAATTTGCGTAAAATATCTGATGTAATAGTTGCTAGTTTAACTTCAAGATCGACCTAAATCAAATGATATCTATGCTGTAACGAAAAACAACTTGAACTTATAATAACACAAATTAACTTACTGTGTTGTAATCAATCCATACTGAAGTAACAGTAAGATTATAGTATTCAAGCTACAATAATTGAATCTCTGTCCACCTTAAAGATGTGGTGAGTAATCAATGGATACAAGAATTGTTTTAATAAACACATTGATTATTCATCGTAAACGCTTCACCTAAAACAACTTGGATTAAATTAAAAGACAAACTCTGTAAATTTAAATCAATGAAAACGATTATAAACTCTTTTTATATTCCTTGTCAAATAAAATTGATGTAATTACTTTCTTCAGTCCTCGTCACCAAATGACTGAA